GTAAAGCAGAAAGAAAACAGATGGGAAGGTGAATAATTAAAATCTATGCTACACACCAAGCAGCCAAGGGAGGGGGAAACTTGACCAAAGCAATAATGTCAAAGGATGAAGCTAGAACTCATGTACGTTCATGTCCAAACACACCAACAGTGTCTCTAGTCCACTTTATGCTGTTTGAAATGAAAAACAGGTAGCAAGGGATACATACACAACCATCTTTTGTGACATGCTCTGGAATCCTGTGATGTGTGTGTGTGTGTGTGTGTGTGTGTGCCCATACAGTTTTTCAGAAGCAGCCGGGTAGAGAATGAAAGTTTTAAATCCTTTTTGGAGTAGCCTGTCCTGCCACAAGTGAAGGTTCAATTTGTGTCTGAGAGGGTACCAAGTCTTCCCACATTTTAAACAGATAATGTCCTTGTGATTTTAACGCTTCTGTAGAAGGCCAGCTTTGTTCCTTCTTTTTTAAAAAAAAAAATGTTTGTTGTTGTTGTCTCAGTTGTTGAGGGCATGAAAAAGGGACACTGTGTCTTTAAATTAGCAGACATTGCATAATGAACGCTGGGCAGTGAAATGGCTAGTGTGCTGTGGGGGAGAAGGAGTTTAATCTAATTTAGTTGGAGGGTGTCTGTCTGTGGTGTTGTTCCTTGGAGTGTGGGAATAGAGGAGAGAAGCTGGCCTCTTGAATGATCCTTCCCGAGCCAGAAGCAGTGGGGAGCCCCTAAAAGCCAGCAATCCAAGCCAGGCATGAAAGGGAGATTAGAGAGTCGCTCTGATTTGCAATTCACACTAATGCACCCCGCGGAACCTTTGGTAATATTTCAAACCACATTTCAAGGGAAGTGGCCTTAAAATAGCTGCCCAAATCGAACTGGGAGCAGCACCAGGCACTGTGGATCATTCGTTTTATGATGTGGATGTTTGTTTGTTTGTTTGTTTCTCACTTCAATCCCACAACACCATGTTTTGAGCTGCCCTGAAAACTTTGGTGCCTCTGGAAGGCACCGCAGTTTGCATGGACGCTCTGGTGGGCACAAATGGTGTGTGTTCTGAACTTAAACGTTCGCCCACTGAAGGGGTTTTCCTTTGAAAAAAGTGCAGGATGAGGCTAAGGATGTGCCTGCGTGGTGTGGAACTGAAATTTCCCATTTCTGTTGTCTATTTGATAGAGTGTTTTGGCAGAGACTTAATGCAAGAGGTCATGGGAGACCATGACAACTGGTATCAGAGAAATCTGAGTTCATTCTCAAAGGAAGAATCGGAAATGCTCACCATTAAATACAAAAAATGATGCCATGAGAGGGTAAGAGCAAAAGCAAAGAAGTCATCAAACTCAAGAACAAATTCTACTGCAAAAAGCAAGAAGATACCCTGAACCAATTTTGCATTATATAATTTGAGAACGCTTTTTTAGGCCCTTTGATAAGTGCTGCTGGCATATGCCAACAATTTTATTTTGTCAATTAGCTCGCAGCTTATGGTTTAGTCGCCCCCCCACCCCCCGTGGAAAGTGTCAGCACTTATTTAATCTTAAAGAGATAATTTAGGTTTTCTTAATCCCATTTCAGAAAACCTTCCATGATTTTAATTTTCATTGACTATAGCATAAGAACAAAAGATGTAGCTGTGATTTTTAGCAATATATGTGTCAAAGTATTTCATCTTTGCAACGTGATGAGTTCGGATAGAGTGAAACTGTACCTCTGTGGATCCTCCAAGGATGTTTAGGTCTAGTTCAGAGCACCGCCAGGCTTCTGAAATGTTCCTTTTCAAAAACCTTATACTTCCCTAGTAAGCAATTTGTAAGAACTTTAGGGTAGGTAATGTAAAAGAGGGGCTAGGAGGTTCTGTGTGGTTTTGTTGTATTTTTAAAAGTGGTTGGAGTAAAAAAAAAAACAAAACAAAACAAAAACCCAATTTTTTCCCTGGTCCCTGCAAGCTGGCCCGTTATTTGAAATCATGTTTAATGATGAAGTTTCATGAAAAACCTTTGCTCAAAATTTTAGAGGCCTAATAAGATTTCCATTAATTTAAACATATCACTATTCCCAGGACAGCCCCAAATGCTTTCTTTTCCCTCTTTCATCCATGGTTAAATATGTAAATAAAATGTCTAAAGTCATTCTTCAAAGAAGACAAAAGAAAAAAGGACTGAGAGGCAAGACAACCATAAAATTCCTCCCAATCCTCTCGAACATTTGCCAGAGGGGGGCCGCTTTCCAGCCAGGGCAGAACAGCAGGGGACCCAGACTGCCTCACAGAATATCCCACGTCTCAAATCCCACACACAGGAGAAAAAAAAATAAAATAAAATATCTTTTCAGTCGGAACCATCAAAAGCTCCTTTTCATTTATTAGTTACAGAGTTATTTTCCACTTGCTGATTTTCAGAGCCAGCGGTTTTTTGTTTTGTTTTGTTATTTTTCCTATAATAATGTCTATTTGTTAGTTTCGATCTCAGCTGGGCTCAGCTTGGCCCTTCCACTTTTTTTTTTTTTAAATAAAAACAGAGAAGAAAGCTGTCTGAAGTGGTTAGCGCTGAAATATGGGACTGAACATAGCTGAATTACAATAGCACATAAAGGTTCAGTTAGGAGGTACTCTGTCCACCTGGGGTCTGGTGGAGGCTCACAGCTTCATTTTTACCTTTTCCCACAAACAACAAGGAAGGGAGAGAAAGGGGATACCCATAAAGCACCCCTTGCAAGGTAAATTCTCGAAAAGCCAAGTGACATCCACTGAGTCTTTTTTTTAACGGAAAAGCTGTGAAAATAACTCAACCCAACTAAACCCCACCAAAAAGTAGTATAAGAAACATGGCAGTCCTTTTAAGAACACGTGATTTTTTTTTTCCCTCCCAGAAAAGAAAAGAGTCCTGGCGTGGCGCTGTTAGGATAAGCACTGGACTGCTAATCACAAGCTCTGTAATTCAAACCCACGTGCGACTCCTCGAAAATCCTAAGGAGCCATTAGGGCACAAACAAAAAGAAATAAAAACACAGTTGAGGGGTTGTCCCGAGTTTATTCGTGCCTCATCCCTGCTCTCTCCAGCCTCTCAGGTCACATTCGGTGTACCAGGCTCCCTGCTTCTTGATGGGTTCAGAGCCTCTCTTACTCTTTGTCATATACTGGCCAGTTCCACCCAGTGTCCCAGTAAATGTTTCTTGAATGAATGAATGAATGGGTGGATTGTTGAGATCCATACATTTCTTACAGACTTATTTAAAATAAAACCCAATACTCTATGGGGAAGCGTCATAGAGTATTGGGTTTTATTTTAAGGCTTCACTCCAGCAACAGGGAGGGGGCCCAGCTCCTGCAAAGCCCTGGGAGAGAGGAGAAAGTGGGGAGTCCTGTGGTTTCCGCTCACCCCCGACGCCTCTCCCTCTTCTCCTAGAGTGGGGAGGAGGGTCATTGTTTATGGGGGAGAGGCTGCAAGAGATTAAATGCGGGATCCAGGGAGCCCAGAACTTTGAAAACTGCCTGACCTTGAGGGCAGGGCGTATAAGGAGAGAGAGACCCAGCCACCTCCTAGGGTTACTGTTTATTTAAGGGTTGATTCAGAATGCGGGGTGAAGCACCTTGTATATTCCTTGGAGAGGTGGGGTGCGGGTGTGGGCCTCCGCCGCCCGCACCCTGGGCTAGGAAGGGGGAGGGCGTGGGCGTGGGTGGGGAGGAGCTATCCTAAGTGATTTTGCCAAGATCAGGATGGTTCGTATTCCAGAGGGGTCAGTCCAGGGCTTGAGGCCAGTGCGCCCCGTTTGCACTTTCCATGAAACCAAGTTGTGCGGCGCTGGGGTCCCCGGGCCGAGCGGGAGCGGTGTGCACCCTCCACGCGCCCCCAACTCCGCTTACTCTGGACGCCTCGCTCACCAAATAATATAAATACCAAGCGAACGAACCACTTCCTACAATAAACCGAGTCGCACTGTAGAGTCCCAGATCTGGCGAGAGGCCCCTCAACTTCGCAGCGCTGTTAGGGACGGACGGGGCGATTTTGGAACCAGTCGAACCCCTATTTCCCCTGGGAGCGCCAACATTCCAGGAAGTCCCCTACCCTCGGACGAACGGCTCTCTAGTCTGGATTCCCGGCGCCCCTCCCCCGACCCCGCGCACTCCTCTTTGAAATCTCAAAGCGACCCCGTTGGAGCTGGAGCTGCAAGAAGCCCACTCCCGGCGGCGCGGCAGCTTTACAAGCCCAGGGCCGTTTATGGCCCGACAGTAAAACGCAAATCCCATTACCCTTTGAAAGCGCCCTCGGCCCAGGACCCGCCATAAAACTCTTAGAGGACGCGCCCCGAACTCCCACTCCCCCTCTCCCGCAAGTCACCCTTCCCCGACCTCCCTGTAGCCTGGTGCCCATGGGGTTTCGACGGCGATCCGGGGCCACCTGGAAGGGGCGCTTCTCGTGGGCGGGGGCTGGGGGCTCGGCGCACTGCAGGCCCCGGTGGCTGGCAGAGGGCTGGGTCCCCGGGGGCGGGGGAACCGGCGGGGGAGGAGACCTTCCCTGGCCTCGCAGCTTTCTCATGTAAAGCAGTGGCGGGGGCGGGGCGGGCGCCGGGGGCGGGGCCTGTTGCTGCTGCTTTTCCCCCTTTGCCTTTTTGCGCGTCTCCCATCTCCCGACGCCGCGGAGGCTCAGCACAGCTGCTGGCGGCCCGGGCCCAGGCCCGCGCTGAGCAGGAGCAGCGCCGTAAGTCGCCGCCTCCTCTAGACTCGCCGCCCGGGCGCTCGGAGAAGACGCCCAAGTTGATCCCGGCGGCACCCAGAGCTCCGGCGGCTTCGCTTGCGACCGGGTATCGTTGGACAACTTTGCTCGTCTCTCCTCCAGCCCCAGCTCCGCCGAGGCGCGGCGCGGACTTCAGGGCCTGGGGACGCGGCGCACAGCGCCCGGGTCAGGCTGGGCGGGCATGGGCGGGGACCCGAGCTGGGACCGGCAGCCGGAGCCAGCGGTCGGAACCCTGGAGCGGCGTCTGTGAGGGGCGCAGACCTCCCGGCGGGGCCACCTCCGACGCCACCATGAAGCGCCCGAACCCCCGCCTGTGGCTGGTCCTTCAGGTGATGGGATCTTGCGCCGCCATCAGTTCCATGGACATGGAGCGCCCGGGCGACGGTAAATGCCAGCCCATTGAGATCCCAATGTGCAAGGACATCGGATATAACATGACCCGCATGCCCAACCTGATGGGCCACGAGAACCAGCGCGAGGCGGCCATCCAGCTGCACGAGTTCGCGCCGCTGGTGGAGTACGGTTGCCACGGTCACCTCCGTTTCTTTCTGTGCTCGCTGTACGCGCCCATGTGCACGGAGCAGGTCTCCACTCCCATCCCCGCCTGCCGGGTCATGTGCGAGCAAGCCCGGCTGAAGTGCTCCCCGATCATGGAACAGTTCAACTTCAAGTGGCCCGACTCTCTGGACTGCATGAAACTTCCCAACAAGAACGACCCTAACTATCTATGTATGGAGGCGCCTAACAACGGCTCGGACGAGCCCGCGCGGGGCTCAGGCCTGTTCCCGCCGCTCTTCCGGCCGCAGCGGCCCCACAGCTCACAGGAGCAGCATCTCAGGGACGGGGCGGCGACGCGCGGGGGCTGCGACAACCCGGGCAAGTTCCACCACGTGGAGAAGAGCGCGTCGTGCGCTCCGCTGTGCACGCCCGGCGTGGACGTCTACTGGAGTCGCGAAGACAAGCGCTTCGCAGTGGTCTGGCTGGCCGTCTGGTCTGTGCTCTGCTTTTTCTCCAGCGCCTTCACGGTGCTCACCTTCCTCATCGATCCGCACCGCTTCAGGTACCCGGAGCGCCCCATCATCTTCCTTTCTATGTGCTATTGTGTCTACTCGGTGGGCTACATCATCCGCCTCTTCGCAGGCGCAGAGAGCATCGCCTGCGACCGAGACAGCGGGCAGCTGTATGTCATCCAGGAGGGCTTGGAGAGTACGGGCTGCACACTCGTATTTCTGGTGCTCTACTACTTCGGCATGGCCAGCTCGCTCTGGTGGGTCATCCTCACGCTGACCTGGTTCCTGGCCGCCGGCAAGAAATGGGGCCACGAGGCCATCGAAGCCAATAGCAGCTACTTCCACCTGGCCGCCTGGGCCGTGCCGGCTGTGAAGACCATTCTGATTCTGGTGATGCGCAGGGTGGCGGGGGACGAGCTGACCGGCGTGTGCTACGTGGGCAGCATGGACGTCAATGCCCTCACGGGTTTCGTGCTCATCCCGCTGGCCTGCTACCTCATCATCGGCACCTCGTTCATCCTTTCGGGCTTCGTGGCGCTCTTCCATATCCGCAGGGTGATGAAAACGGGCGGGGAGAACACAGACAAGTTGGAGCGGCTCATGGTACGCATCGGTGTCTTCTCGGTGCTCTACACCGTGCCGGCCACCTGTGTGATCGCCTGCTACTTTTATGAACGTCTCAACATGGATTACTGGAAAGTCGAGGCCACGCAACACAAGTGCACATTGAACAACCACACCAAGAACCTGGACTGCCTCATGGCCGCCTCCATCCCTGCCGTGGAAATCTTCATGGTGAAGATTTTTATGTTGTTGGTGGTGGGTATCACCAGCGGCATGTGGATCTGGACGTCCAAGACGCTGCAGTCCTGGCAGAATGTCTGCAGACCCACGTTAAAGAAGAGCCGGCGGAAACCAGCCAGTGCCATCACCAGCGGGATTTACAAAAAAGCCCAGCACCCCCAGAAAACCCACCCCGGGAAGTATGAGACCCCGGTGCAGCCTCCCACCTGTGTCTGAGTGGGAGAAGGGAGACTAGGCTGTGGCGGGGTGGGGAAACTTTCTCAGAGGCTACAGTGGGTCAAACTCAGCTGAGACGTGGCACACGCTCCCCGTGGTTGGTTTGTGTTTGTGTTGTTTGTTTTTGTTGGTTTTTTGTGTTGTTTTTTTTAAATAAAAGTCAAAGAGAAAAATAAAAAGGTTGTACCCTGAAATTCAGGATGCTGTGATACACTGAAAGTATATATATAGATACAAATATATAAGTATGTATTTTTTTAAAAGTACTTAAGGTTTGGGTTTTACCTTTTTTTTTTCCTCAGAGAAGGAAATGTGGCCATTGCAGTGGCCTCTGGTGTCACTAACTTTTGTGGTTACGTAGTTGATTCACAAGAAAACTTTTATTTAGAACCTTCCACAGATAACACATCCGTGTGTGAGTGGGCCTTCATGGACTTTTAAAAAGCAGAGATCAGTTCTTTGCAAGGTACAGAGCCTCTACTGGGTGCCCCAGGGAGCTCAGGGACCCTCTAGCAAATGAGCCATCCCAGCTGCCCTTTGCTTCCCCTATCTCTCTCTAAAGGTTGCTGCTGGAAGCAACTTCAGTGCAAAGTAAAACCAGGGAGACTTTGACACGTACCCCAGACTAGCTTATGGAATCGGAGTGACCTTCAAAAATGGTCGTTCTCCAAAACCCCAACGCCCCACCAAACCTGATATTTGCTGAATCTAGACAGTGTGCAATACATCCCTTATTTAACTCTAACAAAAGAAGCAGGTATTTTGCAATATGGAAACACCAAAAGGAACCTCCCAACAGTAGAACTAAGAGGCCCAAGCCCTCCAGGCCCTTTACTCTTGAGATTTGGTTGTGTTTTTAATGGAAACCAAGCCAATGTTATACACGGTTCAACTGGTGTGTGGAAAGGATGGGGCAGGGGCCGGCTGGGAAAAATGAGAAACTGACCATCTGAAAGCATCCAAAGGGTTTATTGACTTGTCCGCAGTTAAACTGAGGATTTCTCCGAACAATTGTAGAAGCACTGGAGAGACAAACTTTGTCTGGTGCCTTCTGTTTACCAGGCCGGGAAAGACTGCTCCCTGTTCGGGGATGTCTGTAATATATGATATTTTATTAAAAATAAAATACATTCTGTAGTTTGCTGCTAGTCCCTGTGTGCTCCCAAGTTTCCCGTGCATGTGTGTGCAAGAGAGCACGTCCTCCTTCTGTTTTTCCAGCCAGGTCTAAGTGTCTCACCTCCCTCTAAAGACCACCAGCTAACTCTGAAATCGAGAGATGTGAAGTCATTGCTGTGAATGTGTAAAGTTCAGAACCGTTTCTGTGACCTTCAGTGTTGGGCATGAGAGCTTGGCTGTAGACAGAACGCATTGAGGGAAACCTGAAACATCTATGGGTGGGGCTCACAGTTACCACACTCTGAGAAAGGTTGAAGGTTCAAATCCACCCAGAGGGTGCCTTGGAAGAAACGCCTGGCCATCCACATCCCCCAAATCAGCCACCCTGACACACACAGGGTCCCCATGACTTGGGATTGACCCCACAGCTGTAATATCTTTGTAGAATGAAATCAGGGCTGTGTTCATGTGACCTGTTGGGGTCTCGTTGTACCTAGACTAGAGTGTAGAGCCAGCCCCTCCAGGCAATGAGACCATGTTTACCAACTGGATTGTCCTCATGGACGGGTCAAGTTTCTAAGCTATGTGAGAGTCCTGAAAGACACAATCATCAGCTCTGGTACTTGGCACGCAATGCTACGCTTACTATGAGAGTTACAGTAAAAGTCGATTCCAACTCCTGAAGTCCCCTTGTGCTACCAAGTGAAAATATTCCCTGGGGGTTTCTTGGCTGTAATGTTTATAAAAAGGAGTTCTGGTGACATTTGGGTTAGTCCCTGGGCTGCTAAGCACAAGGTTGGCAGTTCAAACCCACCGACCACTCTGAGGGAGAAACGTGAGGCTGCGTGCCCCTGTCAAGATTGATAGTTTCAATGTATAGGGTCATTGTGAGTCAGAGCTGACTTGTTGGCAGTGCATAATCTTTGTTAAGACAGTTTCCCCAGTGGCTCAGTGGCTAAGCAGTCAGCTGAATCCACCATCTACTCCATGGGAGAAAGTTGTGGTCGCCGTGTGCATCTGGAAAGATCTGGTGGTGTTGCTGACTCATAGTGACTCTGTATAGGGTTTCTGAGGAGTGACTGGTGGATTGAAACCGCCAACCTTGCAGCTCAAACTGACCTTGCAATCCAGCGCCTTATCCTTCAGCACCACACAAGGATTGTACGCACCCACAGCCTTAGAAACTCTATGGGACAGCTGTACTCCGTGTAATAGGGCCACTGTGGGTTGGAACTGACTGCACAACAATGGGGGTGGCTTTGTTCTGCTTGAATCTTTATGGCGGAAGGCCGCAAGACCTTTCTGCCTCGTCCAGACTACGGGCTTTCGAGCTGCCAAGACAGGAAACAGGTGCAGGTCCATTTGCCTAGCTTCAAACCAACCTTGGGGTCCTGTGCATTATCCCACAGTGCAGCGCTACGCCAGGATGCCATGGTTCTCAGCAAGTTCCCGGCCCTGCTAAGATGACGGAAGCAGCCGACTTTCTGTGGGGCCAAGCTCCACCGTGACCACGCAGCCATCAGGAACCTGGAGCGTGTATTAAGCAGCTACTGATGATTCATTGGTAGTGCAATGGTTAAAGTGCTGTGCTGCTAACCAACGTTCCAGCAGTTCGAATCCACCAGCCACTCCTCGAGAGAAAGATGAGGCAGTCTGCTTCTGTAAACATTATAGCCCTGGAATCCTAGGGCGCTTCTTGTTCCTACAGGGTCCCTCTTGTCCCTGTGGGTCCCAATTGATGCACAGTTTGATTTGGGAAAAGGTGCACAAGAGCGCGTCCTGTTCTCTGAAGAGGTGGTTTAGGAATTGAGCTTGGGATACATAGCAGAACACACACGTCCACAGCCGTCCAGTCAGACAAACATGGCTGTATGGGTGGACCTCAGACATGGGTACGCACCAGGGACACCTGTAGAATGCTGAAGCAGATAGGGCAATTCAAGTTCACAAAGATAATAAAATAAATAATAAGTTGTCACAAAATCCAGGATGGTCTTCAGTGTCTTTAAAAAGAAAGGTTTGTTTGTTTGTTTTAAAAAAAAACAGTCTGCAAATAGAAACTAGTGTCTGGGGTTTTCCCACCCACTGTTCAGACAGACTGGAGGTGTGTGGGTGGGTGGTACTTGCTTTCTGTGACCTTCTGCATGTTTGAAACAGAACCTCTGAAAGCTCCGCTCCGGGGAGATAGCTGGGTGGGAGCCCCCTGAGGGGCACGGGGTGGCTGCTAATTACTGCTTTGTGGGTACTGCACGCCTGTCCAGGCTCAGCTGTGTGGACTTGGAAACTCAGTTCCAGGGAAAAGCAAGCCCAAGGACATGCAATGAAAGCCTTTGTTGTTGTTTAGGCCTGAACGTGTTCCAGTCTGGGCCTTTCTCAGAATCACAGCCGTGGGGGCTAGTCACCAGGCATTCTCACATGTGCATCAGGCTAGCAGAGGTCAGGAGAAGTGGCAGCAGATGGCTTAGTAATACATGCTTGTTGATTCCCTGAATATATAAGGCTCTCAGCATCAGTGCCCATGGCTTCTGGCGTTGTCGTTAACCACTGTCCAATCCATCCCGGCTCCTGGACACCCCATGTGTGCAGAGTAAACCTGTGACCTTTTGGGAGCCCACTGCCCGGACTTCTTGTCGTGACACATCACGGTGGATTCAAACTGACTACCTTTCAGCTAGTCAAATCTCCCCACTGCCAATGACACAATTTGGACTCCGAGCAACCCTGTATAGGGTTTCCTACTGCTGCGGTGCGCTGTCAGGTGGGTTCCACCTCAGAGCAACCCTGTGTAGGGTTAGGGCTTGGGTTACACCCTGGGTTCTAAGGGCTTACAGCCACAGCCAGAGCAGTACATACCTCTGTGGCCTGTCCTGGGAGCCCTCCCAAAGTTGGGCATGTCCCCACTGTCGTTCAAAGTGCATAGAAGGCAGAAGGTACCACAATGGAATGGCACGTTATAGTGATGCTGTGGGCCCTACCAGTGGTTAGAGGGTGCGCTTCGTGCTCTGCAGGGGACTAGGTGGAACCCAGCTCTTTCCCCCTGCATGGGGGGCACTGAGCAGAATGCCTTTTGTGTAGTGATTGCCACCACAGACCCTCCTGGGCACTGACCACATGCCAAGGGCAGCACAGGGATGCTAATTATCTCTCTTGAGACACAGAGAGGTTAAGTAACTTTCCAGGGTCACACAGCAGGCAAGTTACAGCAAGGATAGGAACCCAGGCAGCCCAACGTTAGAACTTGGTTACTGATTCTATAAGTAATTGTTGAATGAGTGAGTGGGTGAATGAATGAGTGAATGAATGAACAAACTAAGTGCCCACTAGTTGTGGTTGTTAAGAGCTGTCGAGTCTGGTTGACTCATGGCAACCATACATACCATATTTTCTCATATAACATGTTCACAGAAATAAAACGCACATGCTTGTAACAGGCACCGTGTTTGTAGGAAGCTAAGGTGTGAGGGGTTGCACAGTTTGCAAAGACCACACAGCACATATGTGGTTTGTGTAAACAGATGGTACAACAGAAGGCACGCTGCCCGATTGTGAGCCATCTCCATGCTCTTCCATTGTCCCAGCCGTGGTGTCACTGCGTCTCATGGATGGTGTCCTCACATTCACCGAGTCTTTGCTACCAAACATGAACTTATTTCCTATCGGTTGGTCCTTCCTGAGGTTGTGCATTGAGTAAGGCAGTCTACTTCTCACTGTCCCTAGCTTCTAAAGAGCGCTCTGGCCGTATTTCTGCTGAACCTTCTGTCAGTCCACCGTAGACTCAGCCGTCTGTGCCCACACGGCCACTTGAATGCATCATTCTTCTGTTACTCCCCATTCATTCCTCTCACAAGCCAGTGCTGTGGTGTTGTCATTACCCCATATAATAGATGAAGTCGGAGGTGAAGTGGCTCACTCAGGTTCACTCAGCTGACAGGGTTGACCCATGACTGCCCCATCCTCCCTCTCTGTACTGAGGGCTTTGTCAACCCTGCCATTGAGTCGGTTCTGACTGGTGGTAGGCCCACGTTCACAGAGTTTTCTCAGCTGTAATCTCAACAGCAGCAGATCTCCAGGCCTTTCTTCAATGGTGTCACCAGGTGGGT